GTGGAGTCGCCAGGAGTGGTGGGGATTTCTCGGCGTCCACTGCACAGCTCCGTCTCCCAGGTTCACGCCATTCTCCTTGCCTCAGCCCCTGAGTAGCTGGAACTACAGACCGCCCGCCCACCACCTGTCCTACTTTTTGTATTTTTAGTGAATTTTTTGTAATTTTTTTTTTTTTTGAGACGGAGGTCTCACTGTGTCTCCGCCAGGCCTGGGAGTGCGCAGTGGCGTGATTCCTCGGGCTCACTTGCAAGCTCCGCCTCCCGGGGTTCCACGCATTCTTCCTGCTCAGCCTTTTTTTTTTGAGATGGAGTCTTGCTTTGTTGCCCAGGCTGGAGTGCAGTGGTACATGATCTCATCTCACTGCAACTTCTGCCTCCCAAGTTCAAGTGATTTTCCTGCTTCAGCCTCCAGAGTAGCTGGGATTACAGCCACACACCACCACACCTGTCTAATTTTTGCATTTTTAGTAGAGTAGGCCACCATGTTGGCCAGACTGGTCTTGAACCCCTGTCCTCAAGTGATCTGCCCTCCTCTGCCTCCCAAAGTGCTGGGATTACAGGCGTGAGCCACCATGCCCAGGCTGATATGTTTTCTCTTTCTTTCTCCCTCCCTCCCTTTTTTTTTTTTTTTTTTTTTTTTTTTTTTTTTTTTGGAGACAGAGTCTTGCTCTGTCACCCAGGCTGGAGTACAGTGGCAAGATCTCAGCTTACTGCAACCTCCTCTGCCTCCTGGGTTCAAGCAATTATCATGCCTCAGCCTCCTGAGTAGCTGGGACTAAAGGTGCACACCACCTCGCCTGGCTAATTTTTTTTATTTTAGTAGAGACAGGGTTTCACCATGTTGCCCAGGCTGGTCTTGGATTCTGAACTCAGGCAATCAGCCCACCTTAGTCTCCCCAAGTGCTAGGATAACAGGTGTGACCCACCACGCCCAGCCTGGCCGATATGTTTTCTAAAATGTTTCTCTTATATCATCCATTTTCCTTTTAGTGTTTTTTTACAATTTCTGATTACAAATGGTCTCTCCTTTTGTGTCATTTTTATTTTTAAATTTATTACTATTTTTTTATAGACAGGATCTCACTGTCACCCAGGCTACGGTGCAGTTGTAGATCACTGCAGCTTTGGATACCTGGGCTCAAGTGATCCTCCCAAGTAGCTATGACTACAGGTATATGCCACCATGCCCAGCTAATTTTTTAATATTTGGTAGTGGTCCTGACCTCATAACTTCAAACAATCCTCCTGTATCAGCCTCCCAAAGCGCTGGGATTATAAGCATGAGCCACTTGCCCAGCCCAGTTGTCTGTTTTTGCCCTTGACTGTAAACACATGGAAACGAGGACCATGTGTACATACTCAATAGCCAGCACATTGTAGGTACTTAATAAATGTTTACTGAAGGATTGTGACCATAGTCAATCCTTTCAGTCTTTCCTTTAACCATTGTCTCCCTCAAATTTTATGCACCAGTTGCATTGAACTACTTGGGAGTTTTCTTACTCTATTTTGTTTTATTTCCTGGGCCTTTGACCTTGCTGCTGTCTTTGCTTAGAATGTTTTGATTGATCAGGTTTACTGGAGGAATGGAGCTTGTGCTAAGTGTTGAAGCATGGTTTGAATTTGAATTGACAGAGGGGAAGAAGCAGCATCGTTGAAGTCTAAGAAAGACCAAAAAGCTGTGAAATGAATGACAATTCATTCCACACTTAATGATCAAGCCCCGTGATCAAGAATGGTCAAGAATTGACACCTTGTAATCTCAGCACTTTGGAAGGCCGAGGTGGGAGTCCAGGAGTTCGAAACCAGCCTAGACAGCATAGTGAAACTCTATCTCTATAAAAAAATACAAAAATTAGGCCTGGTGCGGTGGTCATGCCTGTAATCCCAGCACTTTGGGAGGCCGAGGCAGGTGGATCATGAGGTCAGGAGTTCAAGACCAGCCTGACCAAGATGGTAAAACCCCATCTCTACTGAAAATACAAAAATTAGCTGGGCACAG